TATCATCTCTCTCTCTCTCACAATGCAATAAAAATTCATGAAAGGTCACAATAAAATTGAAACTTGAATAATATTCAGTAAAACATTCGTTCTGATCAATTAGAAAGACATTTCCGTTCTCTCTTCCTCCACCCTCTCTTTATCTCTCTCTATCTTTCTCTCTTTCTCAGGCACTATTTCTTCTTTCTCACAGTCTGGCATACACATGCACGTCTCTTCTTGAGATGTTAAGCATTTTGCGGAGTCATTTCATTGCGCATGCATTGATTTTGTTTTCATGGGTTTTACTTTTACATAATGTCCAGGTCTGGCACTGGTAGCATAATGTTGGTATAAATATTGAAGTCACAAGCTGTCTCTTTGTGTCAATGGCGATGTTCGGATGAGACAGATAGGGTGCGAGCTAGTAGGTGTCAGTGTTTGCTCTTTGAGTTCGCATTTCTATTTCTCTGTCTACGGACCTGTTTTCAGAAAAAGTGCTGCCAAAATATGTAAACTCCTTCACCTGTTTCAATTTTTTATCATTGACATGGATGTTCAGAGGACTATGCTTTCGGGTTACTTTCATAACTTCTGTTTTTGATATGCTTATTTTCATGTCAAATTACTCACAGCTGTAGTTCAGTTAGGTAGTGTGATTTTGGAGGCTTTGTTGCTTTGGATGAAATAGAGTTTGGTCGTATGTAAACAGAAGTTCATTTAAGATTTATGGGCTTTCATTTGCGTCTTGCATTATTGTGTCCATAAAATATAAAAAAAGGAGGTGAGATAAAACACATCCTTGACGTACTCCAGATCTTACTTCGAACTAGTCTGTTTTGCCTTCCTTTGTTCTTACACTGAGCTTCTGCTATTGGTATATAGAGCTCTGACATGTCTAGCTGATGTCCTCTGACCCCACACTTTTCAAGTGTCTTCCATAGTTTGGCATGGTTTACTCTGTCGAAAGCCTTGTCCTGATCTAAGACGACAATGTTGGATTCTTTGTTGTATTCGATGGTTTTGTCTCATAACCGTTCAGTAAGAGTTTTTACAGCCCTCGCAACTGCATACGGTCATATGAGAAGGTGAAACACAAATTGATTGCATTCCCAGCAGTTGTTAGAACGGCTTCATTTTTGGGTCAATTAAAAAGTTAAAAATTCATGGTAAAAATTCTCAAGAAAATCGAGAACTCTGTGGGGATCAACGACGTACAACAGATCCCCAAAGTCTGGACATTCAGTTAAGATGAGTCTAAAGGTGCATCCGACACAGCAGTTTCTCATGGCTGTCGTAATGCGAAAACAGCATCTGTGCACCCTTTCCCTGGCGGAATCCAAACTAAGCTTCGTTCAGGTTTCGCTCTAGGATAGGTCTTATCTCTTGTTCTATTATCTACACGTATGCTTTTCCTACATGGCTGAAACAAAGAGGTGCAGTGGCGTTTGTTGCCTTTCTTTTTCCATAATGGGACCACTATATCTTTCTGCCAGTCTTCTGGGCATTTCCTTTGATCTCAGGCTTTATTGAAAATATGCCTCAGCAGCAGAACGCCGGCGTTTTCACAAGCTCCTCTGGCTTTGAGTGCAGATTCAATTCCTCTTGACAGTATGTGGCTCCATTTGCTCTTCATACGTTGGTTGGCATTCTTCTTGTTGTCCGTGGCAAACGTCTGGGTTGAAAAATTCTTGGAAGTAATTTTCCAATCTTTTCTTAATAGCAACCTTGCTTTGTCGTTTATAATGCATGTCGGGTTGCATGGTTCTTTCCTTGCCCGCATGCTCACACTAAAAAAAAAAACTCTAAGGTTTTCAGTTGTCATCACGATGTGCAAATAGCAACTTTATTAGAGGTAACAGATTGCTTTCTTTGACAACAGTGTATTGGATTCAGTTAATATCTTCTAACCTAAGAGCTAAATACAATGTATATTGTTAGTATGATGAATATGTCTCTTGTACCTGTTGTAACTAAAGTACTAAAGAACACAATTAGTGATCCCACGGTCCGCATTTCCGGGTAAATGAGAACGTAATTAATTTTTTTAGGAAATGAATCGATACGCTCTGTCACTGGTGTGATCTCCTTTGTCAAAAAATAGATAAACTCTCACAACAAAGTAAAAACAAAAAACATTGAATTTAAAAAAAGGTTCACTGACGGCCAATGTAGTGAGCACATGTAAAAATGCCCCATTACCAGTTTCAGCCCATTTGTTTCTAGCTGCTTTCCGAAATAATCTTCAGAGCCAACCAAGCGGGTTACGCAACCTGTACTAAAGAAGCCTACGATCCTATCCAACAGGGCTAACGAGGGCTGAGGGGGAAACAACATCCCAAAAGAAACACCAAGATACTTGATCAAAATGTCTCCCTACTTGGGAATCGAATTCGGGTCTCCTGCGTGGAATAGTGAAATGCCTCACCGCTAAATTATACAGACGCCTGTAGCCATGAAGTTGTGCAGTAGTAGGTCAAGCAGGTCGAAAAGGGTTGGTAGGAGGAGGAAACTTTACTTTTGTCGAGTAGTGGACTATGAAAGGGACTTTGTGGTGCTTATTGATTCCATTTTTATAGGAAAAAAAGGGAGGGGGGCTGGAATCAAAATGACTGCCTGGTTCATAACTACACAGACCCATAAATTAAATAACTGGGCTACTGACCTCGACCCTGAGTTCCGGCCGCACATAATAGTTCCGAAATCTGATCTCTCTCCCTCTATCTCTCTCACACAGCACACACACACACACACACACACACACACACACACACACACACACACACACAGAATCCCCAAATGGACTAAAACATACAGCTACAATGATTTTGAAATGGAATTCCTACATGGTTTGTAACATGATGAGGTCTCTAAAATTAGAGTGATGATGTGCCCATCCAGCTTTTGCCAGACCTGCTCAGCACATCCACAAACAAGGGTAAACGTTGACCATAAACAAAAGCCGCTGACCTTGAACATGACCCTGGTATGGAACATGGAGATGCCTCGCAGCCCCCATCCCCCCTTCTTCTGGAACCAACAAAGGACATCCATAGACCAAAATAATATGATGAACACTGACCAATGACATACAAACATAACGCACCTTGACCCTGAGCTCCTTCATGGGCTGTGGCATGAGGAGACCCCTAATCTGTGTGACAATGGGGCCCTCAGTACCCGCCAGCACCACAGTGTCGCCCTCCTTCACCGACCCGTTGATGAGGATTACATCGATGGTTGTGCCCATGCCTGTGATTGCCTTCACCTGGAAGAGAAACAAACATAATTACATGTATATTACGAATATGAGTTTGAACAACAGAAGCACTACCACACGATAACGGTTATTTAGTGCAAAGCAGGAGGGGGTGGAGCAAGACAGACAGAAACAACAGAGTTGGTTCTCAGTGGGGTTATTATTTTTAAAAGAAGCTCACCGACACGATAGTGATCATGGGGGAGGGGGGCGAAAGACCGACAGACACAACAAAATAGGTTCAGGTTGAGTAAAAAGGAAGTACATCGACACGATAATAGTCCTTTTGTGCAGATGGAAAAATCAGTTTAGTTTTAATAAGTTTTCTACGGCACTTGCAACACTGAATAAGGTCATATATATGCCGAAGATTAGAGGCGTTACAAGAGAGTAACAAACACAAAAAAGAAGGAGAAGAGATTAGGACGATCGATGTTAGATAGGATAGGAAAGAACTAGAAAACCACACCAGAGCACCTGCCAACCACCCACGAAAAAAAAAATCAAAGACAGACAGAAAAACACAGTTGGTCCAGTTTAAGAAAAAAAACCCCAGAAGTATATCCGCATGATAATGATCATATAGCGTAGGGAAAGAGCTAAGACAGGCAGAAACAACAAAGGGACAGTGGTATTAGTATGTAAGTAATGACAACAAGGCTTAACAACATATTTTAGCCATCCAAGAACAGATTTAGACAAGAGTAACCTTGGAGGAGGAGGAGAAGGAGGAGGAGGAGGAGAAGAAGAAGAAGAAATACTAAACGGTCCACCAACTACTGGCAATTAGAAAGCGCCGTTCGTTCTTTCCGTATGCTGGCATTCATCCAGCAGTCATGGGCATGGCCAAAACCTAACCCAGTGCACATGGCCAGTGGGGTTTGATTTTGCCAGACTTTCCTTTATAGAGAGGCACAAACTACCATTTCAGTTTTAGCTCAATTGCACGATTGGTTAACTATTTGACTTTAAAATGCTAAAATATTAAAATTCAGTATAAATATATTTGCGATTTAAAACAACTCTTATAAGTAACAATAAAAATTTTAAATAGTGC